TGAATAGAATGTTATTAAAAATCTTGAAAATGGTAACCTTTTATGGAAGATTGTTTCCTTACCTTCGAAAAAAGATCTTTATTATTATTTAAAAAAACATTGAAAAAAATATTTATTAAAGTTATTAAAATATATGTATACCGAAATTTTTAGTACAAAAAAATATCGATTTTTATCTGGTTAAAAACCTCGAAAAAGAAGATATAATATTTGTTAGGAGTCAAATTGGACAGATGCCCAGAAAAATAACTCCTCCAGTCGCACAATAATGAGGGGCGGGGAGAGGTCATGTGTGGCACACCATCCCAATGATGGTGGGTCTTGAGTTTTAGTGCGGCCCAATTGCCGTCAACTGCATATTGGGGCATCGTTTTGGACCACCACCAACATGGTATCATTTTAGACTTTTATATTGTGTGGATTTCAGTCATGGAGATTCACTTATCCTTTTTGTATATCTATTGGTCTCATTAGAGCGGAATATAGTACTAGAGTTTATTTAACGTTCTTCCTTAACTTTTCAAGGACCCGTTCAAGCCCGTGGCCCATGGGCTGAACCACCCATGGGATCAAACCTGATGAGTCGGGTGTCTTGGGACAGGCTCTTTGAGCTGGCCCTCTCTTCTTTCAGCTTGTTTTTTTCTTTTTTCTTTTTTCTTTTTTCTTTTTTACTTTCTTGACGATCTATACTGAGCCCTGCAATTTGGGTCTTTGGATTCCAAGAATTTGACTTTCAGTTTTTGCTATATTTAATATCCAACCGTGAATCAAGTGAAGTAGTCCAAATTTAGTCATTATCCTAGGCCAATTTTAAGTCTCTGATTCATTATTGTTAACCTTAAAGTTGAAAAGAGAGATTAATTAGAGAGGTCAATATCTCTTAAAATATCTATTATTGCTAACCCACCTAAGTCGAGATAAACTCTCACCCCACAAAGATCAAATTATTAACGTGTCATATCCTGCTATATATCGGGCATCCATCTGCCATTCTGCTTCTCCCCACCCCAACCTAAATTCTTCCTCTCTATTTTTCACCCCTAAAACAAACTCCCTTTAAATTTTATGAAATAATTAAAAAGATGAATAAAAGGGGGCTAAAACAATAATAATTGACATGGATGGATGAAAAACCCCTTTTATTTCACATAGCTCCTACTTACTAGGGCTCATACAACATATATATGTAATTATATTTAAGGTTGGTTGAAACCTAAATAAGAACAAACCCTAGCATCCTTGTAAACTCTGCCTGGCCTACAGAAGTAGCCCTTATTTGGGGCGCAATGGCTGTCTTTAGAGCATATACACAACCCTTCTAAGGCGCACCCATCTTTATCTATGGTGACTGCTCCTTTCAATCCAAGAACTTGGTCTGTCCACTGGTTGGAGAAGAGGCCATGTGGGTCGTATTCATTCTTAACCTCCAGGAAGGCTTCCTTGTCTCTGTACTTGGCGATTGCCTCTTGAAACGCCACGTTCCTGTTCTTCCCCCAGTGCGGAGTACCTCCATATTTGAACACGGCCATTTGCTCCACCTCTTCAAGCACATCCTCGAACAGCCTAGGACTCATCGGGTCTCTGCTTCGGTAGTACGTGAAGTCGAAGTCCACTCCATCGTGTTGCTTCCCCAAGTAAGCGCTGGAGGCCTTGACGTAGCGCATCAGGATGCCATTGTACAGCTCCAGCCCACAAAATGCCATGGGCTCCAACTCCGCAAGTTTCTGCACATCCTCGATGAAACTTTTGACCACTCTCAACTCCACGCTAACAGCCGTCTGGTGGAAGAACTCTCCCTTGATCAAAGGGTCCCAAGGGCACCCTGTTATTCTCATGTCCTTAGCATTGCGGTATAGGCAAGATCCAGAGGATTGGACCCGATTCTGATACCCAATCACTGGGTACTTCAGAAATGTGATGCCTACGTACGTACTCACTTGATTTCACGTTACATACAAGTACAGTTAATTAAGAGATGATTAATTAACGTACCGTTGTTGGTTAATCCATAAGCAGAGAATGAGAGAAGGGACGTAACAAGCCTTGCACTGAAACACTTGCCACCAGCATCACGCCTTGACTCTTGGTCCTCCTCTTACAAGTAGAAGTAGAACAGAAACGAACCGATGCCCACCAGTACAGGAAAAGACAAGACATATCAAATATATATATATATACACAATTTAATGAATTAATTCCAGATTCCAGATCATGTGGGCGTACCTGAGGCTCGAAGAAGTTGCAAGCCCACTGAAGGTGTGGGGCGAAATGGAATGAAATCATATAAGCCATTCCCGGAGGTGTTGGATGAAACGCGGCTGTCTTGGCGATACACAACCATACGCTGGCTTGGATACCAAATCAAGTCGCCAAATTCATAATTTCTCCCAAAACTAACCACTTCGTCGCCCAAATCTCTGTCATGCCTTTTCAAATATGTGATGGATCGCTTGAACATAGGTTCCAATTTCAGAGTAACCTACACAAAAAGACCAAACTCATATATATTAATATACCCATATCCAATCTTTCTTTATTATATTTTTGTTTCCATGCCAATCAAATTAAAGTCTGTACACGCATCATTGTCGATCCTCATCCATTCACTCAACATCTTTTCTATTCTCAGTACAACATATTGAGGAGAGGATTCGAACTCGTTTTGATGAATATAATCCATTTCTAATGTTAGATTCCTTTCCAATGCTTTTTCCATTTTTTTTTCCTTTTTTAAGGAGATTTGTTCTCATGCTAATATTAGATATTGATAAAAATAATAAGTGGTATACTTTCTAAATGTGAGGTATTTTCGTAACAAAACCCAAAAAAGAAAACATTTTTAGCTCGGTATACTAATTATCAAAATTTACCATCTATAACTTTTTATTTTATTTTAAATGATTTCTAATGTTTTCTCATGATATTTATATGTTTGTAATTTTACCCTTTGATGTATTAAACTTCAACTTCAAGAAAGGCAAGTTATTTATATATTATCATTTTTTATATACAAGAGATAACAAAAGTAATACACATAGTGAGTTAGAAAAATAGTGGACTAGGCTTTTATCACACACTTTTACGATAGATGTTGCACGTGATATTTGTTCGGTAGTTTTACTTTTACTTTCGTAAGTTGTAAGTTTTCATTTAATTGTGAACTTAAAGTACGATAATTAAGAAACCCTATTAATATAATTTAGGGAAGAGATGCAGGTAGAAGCACCTATTTTTTAAATGACGAACTGTCTTGAAAGAAAAACTTAGAAATATTGGGGAAAAAGAGGGTAGTGCAAAGGAAAAGGAAAATAGGGAGGCCGGAAATTGATTGTGGGAAAGAGATATTATGGAATGGAATAGGTAATTGATTATCTTGAATTAATAATGATGGAAATCGGAAAAAGATCGGCTGGTTAGGCAGGGGTATACGTATACCTGTGTAATAATTCCAAGAACTCCGAGTGAAACTTTGGCAGCGTTGAGGTGTTGGTCACCGTCAAGGAGGCGGCGGAGTTTGGCGTAGCCATC